AGAAGTCTGGAGTCTTTTATGTCTGATCTGAAATACAGCACTTGTAGTAACACAATTCACCCTAACACCCTGCTGGGATATCATTAAGCACTGGGTCAAAAGGAAGTGTATCACCTTCTGGATTGCTGGCACCACTTCCTAGGACATGTTAAGTGTCCTAAGAGGTCTCTCATCTATTACGTCCTAGAGAATATAAAATAATTGATTTTGTCTACAAGTATGTGTGAGGGAGAAGCAGGTCCCTGATCCTAACAATGTACAGGCTTAAGTAGAAAACACAGAGTGTTTATATTAAGAGAAGAACACAAGCTTGGGTCAGGGGTGAAAGTAAGTTAGAGAACTTACCGGTATGCTGGAGTCCTGAGCAGGGGGCGTGGCCTCAACCGGAGGAGGCGTGGCCTTAAATCTTGATTTAAAGGGCCAGGGCTCCAGCTGCGGTAGTGGTGGCTGGGAGCCCAGGGCCGTTTAAATCACCCCCCGAGCTACCAGCTGCAGAGGCGGCTGGGAGCCCTGGGGCTCGGGGGCGATTTAAAGGGCCCAGGGCTCCAGCTGCCGCTACCGCAGCAGAGCCCCGGGCCCTTTAAGTCACTGAGGAGCCCTGGGGGCTCCCGGCTGCCGCCGCTACCCCAGGACTCTGGGCTCTGGCAGAGCTTTAAAGGGCCTGGGGCTCCGCTGTGGTAGCAGCTGCTGGAGCCCCGAACCCTTTAAATCCCCGCCTGAGCCCTGCTGCCCGAGCCCTGGGGTAGCGGCGGCCGGGCTCCATCGGGGATTTAAAGAGCCCCGGGGCTCCAGCTGCCGCTACCGCCCCGGCCCTTTAAATGCTACCCCAGGGCTTGGGCAGCAGGGCTCCGGCGGGGATTTAAAGGGCTGGGCAGTAGCGGTGGCTGGAGCTCCGGGGCTCTTTAAATCCCCTCCGGAGCCCCGCCGCCGCTACCCCAGGGCTTGGGCAGCAGGGCTCAGGCAGGGATTTAAAGGGCCCCAGGGCAGTAGCGGCGGTTGGAGCTTCGGGGCCCTTTAAATCCCCGCCAGAGCCCCGCCGCCGCTATACCAGGGCTCGGGCAGCAGGGCTCAGGCCGGGATTTAAAGGGTCCCGGGGGGGGGGGGGGGGGGGAGGTAGCAGCGGCTGGAGCTCTGGGGCCCTTTAAATCTCCACCGCAGCCCCTCCGGCACTACCCCAGGGCTTTAAATTGCCCTCTTGGAAAGCCAGTCCTGGTACGGCGCACCGGCTCTTACCGGTACGCTGTACCGGAGCGTACCAGCTTACTTTCACCCCTGGTCAGGGTTCACTAATGCATATTAGTGGATCCTGACTTAACTACAACCTTTTCCCTAGTAAAGGCTCAGGTTCACCTCTTTTATTTTGATTTACTGGTCAAGATTGACCCTTGACCTCAACCAGATAAACTGAATTAATAGGGGATAACCTGCATTTATATTAGGACTAAAAACTATAGGCAAAAGGCAGGCAGAGGAAGGGAAAAGGGGTCTGAGATGTAATGTGAGATCTATTTATTTTGAGGGGGGGATATTTTCTCTTCTTGGCTATTTGCACGCCTGTGTGTGTGAGAGAGAGAGAAAGAGCAGATATTGCATAGCTGCAGCTCTATAATATCCTGTTAGTGAAAGGGAAGTGACTCCCTCCACCCCAAACTTCAAGGCAGCAGTCAGAAAAAAAGTACTTTTACCCAAAGAAAAATCTGATTTGTGTGTGTCTGCCACTTCTGCTCCATGTACAAAATCACTTGAATTTCACAACTAGCATCTCAATCCAAAGTTATATTTTTAGATAAGTGCACTTGATGTAACCCACCTCAACATGTGCAAATCCCGCGTGTGCCACTGAGTAGCCAAATGCACCAGTAGAGACTGTACAGAGTGGAACTGTTCAATGCAGAATGCTGGGTTCCAAATGCTGAGCTGGGAGGAACATGAGCATAAGTAGAGTAGGTTGAGGCAATTCCCATGCCCTAGAACTATGGAAACATCTAGTTATTATGCACCACACAACAATGTAGGCTGATCCCTTTGCTAATGAATACTGTGTGCAGAGTTCAGTGTGTGGTTTATAGTTGAAATCTGTGCAGCCAGTCCACCTGTAAGAAAATATTGATATGTTTGTGCATAGTCAAATATCGACGAGCTGTTCTCTAGTAGCCAGAGAGATATTAAAGAACTATTTCCTTACTGATACAAAGTGATGTAGTTTACTACTGATTGAAAACATCCTGAGGATTGCAATTTCTGTCACCAGTTTATCAAATTTAGAAGGCTCCTTTTGTGCCTTTGGCCGCAGAATTGTGCAAGGATATTTTTGTACAGCACCTTGCACAATGGCACCCTGGTTCTTGATGGGTGTTCCAAGGCATTGCCACAATACAAGTGATAACTAATAAGGTAGAGGCCCTAAGGAGAATTACCCCACCCCTCTTGCTTCCTTGCGCAGGGGTCCAGATTGGTTCCAGCACTTGCTATACTTCAGGCTTCGTGACACTGGCAGCATTAGCTTCCCGAAAAGATTACACCTTCCCTCCACACTGCTCCATTTACAAGGGTTGCATTAACTGCCTGTATAGCATGTGTCTCCTAACAGTCTCCACGAGGAATTCTGGCTTTGCCATCCGGAATCCCTCCAGTGTGTCCTACTGCAGCAAGGTCTGTATTTGGCCCCCGTAATGGGGGTAATAGGTTAAAGCCCTGAACATGTAACATAATGGAGACTCTTGTGATGCTTGAACGCAAATTCGAATGAAGCTTTTCATCCTCCTCTCACGTGGACAAAAGAAGGCTATGCATCCCTCTTTTCCAAATGAGATTCCATTGTCCTTCCATATATGATTGCACCAGTGACCTGACTTGCAATATATCCTGATTTGTTTTTGAGTGATGGTAGAAGGGATTGCAATACAATCACTGATTATTGCAATGGGAAAAATACGGCAGTGTAGGCATTTTACTGACAGGTGCAAGATATATTTCCATGGCTTTGTTGATGTTAACATCCCTGAAAAAATGGAAATCCTTGCACTTAGCCGTAATATGGCAGATTCTCATTCATGCAAACATCCTGAGTAGGGCTGATGTTTACTGGGGAGGGATCCTCCCACAAGGCTATTTGCCTCCCATCCTGCCTACATGGCAGAAATGTATTTGGTTCTGCTGGATGCAGTGTTCTCCACACACAGGGTAGCAGCGGGGCACGATTTGCCTCCAAATATTAAGCGACTGTGTTTCTGTGCTGACTTGTTAATTCCATAGGGCTCTCATCAGTAAAGATGTCAGCATTTCTAACTAGCTATTCAAAAATGACCCAGCACACACAACCTTTAAAAAAGAGCGTTTTGGCACTGGCTGTCTATTTCTGAAGAGGTCAAAGGATGTGGAGGGAAGAATTTTGATATGCATGTGCACCAATACAGAGAATGGAGTTTATATGGAGAAGTCTTGGGACTCCTTTCCCTCTACTCCCCCTGCTTGCTACCATCCCTAATTTCAAACAACGTATTTCCCTTGTGTTACCATGATGTTTCCTTTACATTTCTGTGCATCAAGACTTCTCATCTTCTCCAATCCTATCCCACCACACAAACATACACCAGCACTCGTCCTTTGCGTTCGTCATTCCCTTAGTCAGTTACTGTTAACTAGACAGTGACTCCCCTGGTGTAAACAGAAGAGCTGTGTGAACTATTTTTTTATTTTTGACATTAATTCAGATCAGAGCTGGAGTGGTTATGGTCAACCCAGTAAACCTATGGGAGGCACAGAACCCTAGACAGGCTGCCCTTGTCATTTGGCTTTCCAGGAGCCCTGACCTTAACAAACACACTTGATGATCCTACATGATATCTTGGCTGCCTACTTGGGCTCATCTGTTGGGATGGCATTCTGCCTGTTCACAAGATAATATGCTGGTTTCAGGAGTTCGTAGATGCTAAGCAAGGACGGGTTTACATTAGCAGTGTGCACAGAACTATGAGTGTAGCGTTTCTATTGTATTGGTTACCCAGATAGAGTGCGGTAGCTTTCTCTTTAAAAAGGCTCTTCCTTTATGAGGTTATCCCTGATATACAACTTCCGTCTTTCAACATCATCAGAATCTATTATACGTTTCATGGCACATTTTCTCTTTGACTTGATTGGGACCTCTGGGAGTTACCATAACGACGATGGTAAACAAGAACACACATCTCACTAAATACAAAATAAACTACTCGGGCTGGGATTTACAAAGGCACCTAATGGAAACGGGTGTCCAACTACTATTAAAATTCCCCTGTGACAATAGTAAAGGATCTACAGAAAGTTGCTTTCATTTGACACTGAACAAGGAACTGTATTAGAATGGAGAAAACAGTATGCGTCTTGAAGTTACTCTATCTTTGCCTCTGCCTAGAGCTTTCCCCAGCTTCCTCTGGCCTGGGTTCTCGCTATAGATTTATAGAAACAGTACATATACGCCTTGGTCCCTTCCCCCGTCCCCCATGTGCGCGTACGCCCACACACACACAGGGATGTGGGAGGAAATTGGGAGGTGCTGCAGTGGGGTGGGGAGATCTAGGAATTTAATTCCTATCTATCCCCCTCCAAAAAACAATCAATTCAGCTTTAAGCTGAAGGAAAAAGATGATTTTCCCAATCTGCAGGCTAATTTCTTCTCTATGTGTGCTGCACATAAGCAAGGGTAGGCAGTGAAAACAGATAACAGCATCCTCAACCCTATGCCGATGGAAGAAATTTGGGAAGGTGTGTAATGGGGAATCATAAGGCAGACTCCTGAAAAGGCAGTCATCAGCCGTGATCTAAATCTATTATCACAAACTGCATGTTCCCATCAAGTGATCCGGCTGTGCCTGCAGGGTTAGACAGGTTCTGAGAGCTCTCTCTGGTGTGTGGAAGTGATTTTTCTCTTGACAGGGAGTCAGGTCACTTGTCTACTTTCCATACATGGATACAAGGACTCATGTTTTCATGTAGCCGACGACAAACATCCAAGCTCAGTGGAAAGGAAGCAGATTATTTATATTCCTGAATCAAGAGTAAAGTTCCACAGTGGGTAAGCAATGGGAGCTTGAAAAAGCTGGTTGGCTAGAACTTCAACCTCCCCCCAGTAGTTGTTGAATAGCAGTGCCTTAGGCTATTATTTTCCAAACAAGAGGTAAGCATCTGAAAATCAAATTCTCCTTTAACACTGGAGAAGCAAATAACATTAGCACATAGTAAAACATAACTAAAGATTAATAGTCAAGCTGATATGCATGCCTATGAAGATCTGGTGTATAAATCATCATGCAATGAGACTATAGTATGTACATTATAGATAAATCAAAATCTGTACATTACTTGTTAAAACCATTTTGTTCAAAAAGCCCATTAAAATGTGAAAAATATCCTGTATTTTGGTTGCCCTGTGTGGAAATAAAGTAGAGATTACAATAACGATAAGGGTTCTTTTACAAAGAGAGAAAACAGCTCAGTTAATTCTTCTTTGTGGGATCCAATTAACCCTTAAAACTTAGGCTCCAGCCTTTCCAATGCATTTTAATGCAGCACAGAATGTCTTTTGCTACAAACTATGGGTCTCATTTAATGGAGTTTTGATTAAGGAGCAAGACCTGGGGGGTCAGACTGTGATATTGAGTAGTACCTTATTCCACTAGGTGGCCCTATTGGCACTAATCAATGCATCAGGTACGATTCAACATGAGCAAAGGTATCCCAAGGAATCAGTGATTTACTCATTTTTAGTAAGAGAACCTCGTTTCTTTTAACTAAACTGAAGTTTTCCTTTGCTATCCTGAGTGGATTATTTTGAATCTTATGTCTGTCCCCCCAGCTGTATGAAAACCTAAAGCAACATCTTAGAAATACAGCAACTGGGAATTCCAACAATATATTCTTGATGAAAGTTAAAGCAACTACAGTAACTAAAGCTTTGTAGTCTCATTCACTTTTCTCTTTACTCTTATTAGCATTAAAGAGAGGTAAGCACACGCCAAGGGGAGACCCTGATTTCACACTGATTGTATCTTGATGTAATTCCTTTGCCTTCAGTGAAGCTGCTTTGGAAACTGAGAGCAGAACCAGACCCTCTGCCTTTAGGCCTATATCCCGCAATGGTGCCATGCACAGAGCTTCCATCGACATCAGTGGGAGGGCATGAATGTTAATGGCAGTTCATTACATTCAGGGCAAATTACCTGAAATGCCTCTGCTTTTGTCTTCCAAGCGCCTACCACTTACTATGCTTTGTCTGTGAGAGAGTTCCCCGCCGAAGGTTATCTCCAAGCTGATACCGTGTGCCCTCACAGTGCCAGATTTAATAAATCATCTTGTCTTCTACACTGAGCAGGCTCCTAGAGATCTATTTTGTGGAGCCAGCCCAGCTTCTGTGCAGATTTTTTGCAATGTAGAGGACAAAGCCATTTTTGTTTTTTGTTATCTAGCACTTTCTTACTGGCACTGCAGGAAATGTGTTCTTCGGTGCTGGTGACCTGCTAAAGGTTAACTCTGTCAAGGGTCAACTCTCTGAATTGGTATAGTTTTGAACAAACAACAACAAACAAAATGTGTTCCCAGAAAGAGTGACATCCACCCAGTGCACAGAGAGCGCACAAAGCCTCTGCGGTGGGCTGTGTGGTACATGGGGAGAGTGCCGCACAGGCTGGCTGCTCAGATGATTCTCTGGACCCCCTGGGCACCACTGAGAGGGGATCCAGGTGGGCCCTAAAAAGTCTCGGGCACAGGGAAGATCTGAAGGCAGAGACAAGGAATCTGTGATTAGGTGGATCCAGTGGTCCTACTGTGACACCCCAGATGGAAGGTACTTTGCAACAGACACTCTTTCAGGCTATGAGGTAGCCTATAGGCTGAGGGGCTGCATTGCAGCATGGTGCCCTGCCTATAGGTTGCCTGCTGTCCTTGCCTGCTGTCACTCAGGGTGAGAGAAAGCCAGCATAAGGCCCACGCACCAATTAAGCTATCAAAGCCCTCTCTGGCATGAGCTATTAGGGCTTACGGTAAATGGGAATTAAATGACTGTGAATTTCACCAATGCTCCAATTTGCAAAAGCCAGAATATGGTGGGCTACCTGCATGCTGGGTGAACAATTACCACCCTAACTGCATGACTATTTTGTGGCTTGCCTTCTATTTATTTTGTGTAGTACTGATGTTCATGACAATCCCCCGAGCAGACTGATTAAAACCCAAACACAGACATGAAACCGTGGGAAAGTTGTTTAGCTGTCATCCTAAGGAAATGCTCTTCTCCAAGTACATAGCAATATCAAACAGCTTATTACTGATTAAACTTTGAAAATAAAATTGCAACACTGTTTGCAGCAATGCCAGCCATTCTAATACTCACATAAGCATCCTGTGTTTTCATGCATTCATTAAATGGTATTACCGAGCCTGTGCCCTGGGCTGCCTACAGGTGGGAAAAGAAAACTCTTCAGATAACCAATTAACATTCATAACAAGCTTTTAAAGCGGTGCACAGTGCCATCTCCAAAGATAGGTGTCTTGTCCGCATTTCCATTATAAATCTCATTGCAAGAGGGGTGGTTGATATACCATCTCAGCTGTCTCAAACTGCATCAAGTAAAACCCTGGCATGCAAGTTGTCAATCTAGTTGTACTTTTTTTGTTTAAAATAAAAACAAACCAACATTTTCTCCATTTAAGATCCAGCCAAAGGGGGAAAAAAAGTCAAATTTTCAGCATATCATTGTAAACTATTTGAGGCAGACACCATCTCTGTGTTCTGTTTGTATAATGCCCAGCATGATGGGTGCCTGGCCCACGACTGAAGCTCCTAGGTGCTCCTGCAATACAAGAATAAATAACACTAATATCAAAAATCAACAAGAAAATGAGCAAAATTAACACCAAACATATTTTGTTAATTACAATCAGATTGTTCCTGGAGTTAACTTCGAGCCAAATTTTGCCACCTCTACTCCTGTTGAGGAGTAGCCCATTCAAACTATTCACAGAATAAGGTATTATTCAACAAGCGCATGGGTGGCAAAATTAGGCCCCATGGCATGTTGATGATGTAAATGTATTTTTAAAAGATAGATAGTTACATTGGTAAAACAGCTAATTCAGATGAGCACACAGCAAGCTTTCATAATGTAGGTGAGACTGAAGAAGCATATAAAGTGCGGTGATTCTTGCATTTGAGATCTCTCGGTATCTTCCCCCTAGAGGCATAAAGGTCCCAGGTCATCCTGGTGAAACTCTATTGATGTCACCAGTGATAAATTTGATCCCGATTGACTTCTACTTGAATAGCTAGAAAGACCAGATGTCAATCAGCATAGTAGCTTGGAAGCAAAGACATTCGGGGAAAAATTATAACATTCTGTTTTTTGTCAAATTTTCCGGACTCCCCTTTTAATCATTGCTGGTTACCAAAGATGAATGTATTCTATTTTCCTTCTCTCATCCTGGCTTCTCTCGCTGCTTCATCATGAAGTCATAATCTTGGGTTTATGACATCAGAGTCTCCTTCAGTGATCCATCTGCAGGGGGGAAAATGTTGAAAGGTAGAGAGGGAAGGTGAAATATGAGAAGATGGGGAGTCATTTAAACACACATGCCCTTGATAGATGGTATGAAATGCCAAGAGTATCATGGGATACATATATATTATAGATCGGAGCAGAGACCAGGGATGAAATCCTGGCCCTACTGAAATCTATAGGAGTTTAGCCATTGACTTCAATAGTGCCAGGCTTTCACCCCTATCTTTATATGTGTTTGTCCAGTGCCTAGCACAATGGGACCTCTGAGTGCTCCTTTCATACAAATATATATATCTGGGTTTTTTTCACCATTTTCCATTGAGTTCTTCACATGCTATCAATGCAACTGCCATTCTGATAAGCTTTAAATGCCTCATCCATTTTCCTTTTGCCACTCTGAATTATACATCCTCGGATGTCAAACTCAATATCTGCACCAGCCTGTCCTCTAAAAAGAGAAATACTGTAGGGTATTCTTTAGCTAGGTGAATATTGTTCAAAGGCAGCAGGGTTTGTACTAAAGGAGGCTGCAGCTTAAACTGAAACTGTCTCCAGTGGCCAGGGGAGAGGGGAAAATCTTTGTGTTCTTAGATATGGCTTTTCTGTCCAGTGAAAACCAGAACAGAGATGAGCACTGATTTTTTTTCTTCTTTAGCTGTTACTGTGCCCCCTTTTCAGAGATATTGCTTGCCTTTTCAGCATAGCTTCCTCATTACTACTGATTCTAGGTGGCCTCTTGGTCAGCACTGTGTTTTATGATTACTACCACCAAAAAGCTCCACAGAAACCAGCAACACCAAGACCTCAATCTTGCACGAATAATTTACACAGATGAGTAGTCCCACTGCCTTCATGCATGTGTTTGAAGAAACAGGGCCTTAGAAATAGCCTTAGAAATAATGATGAGAGTCTGATTTGAAACCACAACATTCACAAATTGCAGAGCTAAAATGTAATGCTCCCTATTTAACCCATCCCATTGTGACTTGATATTGCAGGGGATTGCGAACACAGGGTAGTTTTAGAAAGGGGCAAATATTTTAAAATAAATAAAACCCCAACCCTGCAAATATTTGCTCAAGTTAACCATACTGAATTTGCTTTGGCCATTTGCACCCCTTTTTCTGTTTGCTTTCTACAAATATCGTTGTGAGTGAGTTTAATTGAAGAAATGTGCATGTGTTGGAAATATCAGCGTGGATCGTTTCTACAGGCCAAAGTCAGACTTATGCTAGGCTAACTGACTTTGGCCTAGTCTTTGTTTGACATGAGTGTTGCTCCATGTGGACTTGCTTAAATGATGCTTCTAGCTATGTAGGATAAATGTGGTGTTTTCTACTGTGTTGGAGGACACAGATAAGGAAGTTAATCATACTCTCTTAATACACAAAATATAATGCCAAAAAGTCCCTATAATTAGGAAAAGCAGGAAAATCCCAATATGGCGTATGGTGACATGATGAAATGAAAATAGCGTGGACAGCAAAAGGTATGTAAACTGAAGTCTGCACAGGCGTATTATACAAATTATGATGGTCAGATAATGTTGAAAGGTATAAATATGCTAGAGTGGAAGGGCATAGTCAGAAACTTGTAGGAGAAATCCATCATAACCAGTCTAAGCCCCAAGAGAAGCCACTGATCAATATTTTTTCTATACATCTGTCATTCATTGCTTTTTATAGCAATTGCAAACACAAGACCATACTTTTGGTTCAAATAAGGGTTTGAATTAATGAATCTGAGTGTGTGGTAATCCTCACCCAACACCTAGACATATTGAATTGTAAATGAATAGTCATTTCTATTTGCAGAAAGCACATTCTGAATTTGCATGTCCAAGTACTCACGCTGGAAACCTTAATCTGGGTAATTTTTGTACTAACCGTGGTGCAAAAGCAGTAACACGTGACCTTTGTGTGTACTGAGAACTAAATGACAGTGCTCACATTTGGCATATTGAATACAAATGCTCACAGTAAAGTGCTGAAATATAATCCACAGGCCATGATTATTCATAGAAATTATCTGGTGAGTAATTTCAATTAAATAAATTCAAGAAAACAAGACAAAGAGGCTAACTTAGCGGAATACATTATTTACTCTGAATTAGTCACTCCAAGTGAGAGTCACCTTTGTGTGGAAAGCCAGCACAAAGACTAAGGTCCAGTGAAGTCCAACTTAAGCTGTGTTTTGAGGACTGAATTGGGAACTTTGGTGGGGTATAATTGTTGGGCTGGCTCTCTGTACAGGGTGAATTTCACCCTTTGCTCTTGTTGTTTCACATGCCATTCTATATATGCCATTGGGACATTAGGATTTGAATCCTGATTGTGGTTGTTTTGGCATTACTGCCATACAAATAACAAGGGAACATATTTAGCTATGGTGTTTACTGTATAATAAAGTAAGACATATCTCACAGTCAGATTTGGACCAATGAATATTAACAGTACCTGCATAACCTACTGCATATTTGACCTTAAATGTTAAGGTGAAGCATGCAAATATGAGTGCTGAGGTACCAAAGTACATACCATGCAAGAAGATCATTGTGTTCAGTGGGACTCTTTGCATGATTAAAGATACTCACATTGTAAGTGTCTGCAGAACTGGACACTCACATTTAAAAATATGTTTACAATATATTCAACATAGATTATACATAAAAGGAACCCTATTATTAATTTATTTTAAGTAGTTGCATTAGCTGTTTAATAGTTACCCTCTCACAATGAAAGAAACAATAAATCCATTGATGTGTATCATGGGAATATCTGTCATTAGAAAAACCTGTCCTGCTATCCCTATCAGGGTAAAACTCCCATTTAAGGGATTCAGCAAAGCATCTAAGCAGATACTTAGCCTGTTTAACTCAATGAGACTTCAAGTTAAGCGTTTGTTTAAAGAAATAATCCCAGACCCATTGAAGTCTATTGGATTCTTTCCATTGACTTCAATAGTCTTTGGATCAGGCCTAAGTGCTTTGCTGAATATGGATGGACATATGAACTTGCATACATTTAAGCACGTGTTGTGCTGAATTGGGCCTCACATCAACGGGTGGGGATGGAGAAGGAGGTTTTTTCAAGTAAAGATTGAAGGGAGTGGGCTCAAGCTAAGGAAATATGTGTTAGTAATAACATGGTACTGAATGTATCGATGTACCCAGTGCATTAGCAGACTGGAGAGTTGTTGTTTTTCCCCCCAAGTGCTTGTATATCCAGTTTCATACTGAAGCAGATTTTGTTGTTTTAACTCAGAAAATATATGATTTTTATTTTTAAAAAAATCAGTATTCTACAAAAATGATGCAAAACAATGGTGATGATGGGAGGGACCTCTTCAGCTCTAGAGAGGAGAGAGTGGCCCTTAAAACAATGTAAATTCCTGGTTAGGATTTCAGTTCCTGCAGGAGCCTGGAGCTGGGAATAGGAGTTGATAGCAGGTTTGTTTTAAGTTGTATCATTGAGTTATTTTGTTCACATAGTAAATGGTCATGAAATATTAATAAACACAATCCCAATACAGCACAGAGATTTTAGGGTATTGGGGAGGGCGGGGAAACTGAATTAAATAAATGCATCACAGGGTTTAAGAAATTCTAGTCAATAGCCTTGCCAGTTAAACATTTCAGCCTACTGGGCAAACTCCAACCCAGCAGCCCACATTGCAGGTAGCTACTGGGCTGTGTGGTAAGTTGTCCACCACCTCAGCTGGGGTGTCTCGTGGCTCTTTGGTGGAGGCAACATCTCTGCCTCTCGCAGTTGCACACACTCCCCGGTTTGCTGCTGAGCATCAGTTGTGAGGAAGAAAAGAAATCAAGGCACCCAGGTTGTGGGCAGAGTCTGCCTGTTCTCTCCCCTCTCTGCCCTTCACATTGACTGTCGCATTCCCATCCCTTTTCCTCCACTCCCCAAAGGAAGCCGGTGCAGCAGGATCCTCCTCTTTCTCCCTCGTCTTTACAACATGCTTTTTATTGCTGCTGGCTGAGATAAAGCCTTACACTACAAGACACAATTATTTTGCCTGTTTACTGCTAAATACAGTAACTGTTTATTTTCTTAATAATCGCTGTTAGTAAAGAATAAAAATATCTCACAATGTAACAATAACTACACACACACACACACACTCACAGAGTGACAATGTCTCAAGCCGTCCACCCACCCGGACATATCTAGGAAAACACAAACAGGCAGATGACTCTGGGAGCACACACACAGAGAGGTAATGAAGTCTATGAGCTTATCTCAGGACCCTAAGCACTAGCTCCATTTGGGGACAGAAGTAGTGTGAAAAATTGCCACTTTCCCTCATTGAGACTTAGTGGATTGGTTTGTGTCCGTGAGATGATTACAGTCCTCAGATTATGTAGCTCAAGGAGAGATGGGCTGGAATACCAAGGGCTACTGAAATAGATGTTAAAACTTCAGCAACAAGGAGAATGCAAGGATGCAAATGCTTTGCAGACATCATTTCACTGCTCAAGTCTTAACCCCTTGTTTAACTAACAGGACGGTGAAGCATTTCATGTACCCCATTCCTGACAAATGCATTCAGACCACCTAGCCATTCCAGCACACATTCACCTTGGGGCAATGGTTTCCAACTGATGAGTAAAGGTAGCTATTGCTCACCTAACAGAAATTCAGCTGAGTTTCTACCTTTCTAGAAAAAAGATAAGGAGTACTTGTGGCACCTTAGAGACTAATAAATTTATTTGAGCATAAGCTTTCTAGAGATTTCCCATTCTCGTCTTGCATCTCACACCACAGGACCTTAGAGAAGGTCTCTCCCTTTTTTCATTCCTCTTTTACTGGATGATGAGATTTTTGCCAGAAATTTTTACCACCTGTATATGGAAAGGTGTTTGACCCTCACCAACTTTTCCTCCTTCAGAAAATCTGATATTATGACTGAAGAAAGTCTCCCCCAGTCCATGTTTTTATGGAGTTAGAAAACCTGCCCCATGATATCCACACATATGAAGGGGAAGACAGTATGGTTAGCGGAGTTCTGTAAGGGCACTGATCTGTGCAGCACTTTGTATCCCTATGTTGTATTCAATTCTTTTTAATAGCCAAGGGATACCATGCAGGCTCTAAGACCATGCAGGAGCTTCCATCTGCTGTAGCATATTTAACCTGCATAAGGTGCTCTCACACTATTTGAAGCTGTCTAGGCTTGGATCAAGCGAGTCCTTCATTCATTCCTATCCTTCTACACTTGAAAAATATCTACATGGAGAACAGAGATTCAATAAGAGTGGGGACGTCAATGTCGCAGACAAAGATATAAAAAGATCCTGTAGCTGGAAACTGAAGCTAGAACAATTTAAACTTGAAATAAGGTGCAAAATTTTAACAGTGAAGGTAATTCACAATTGGAATAACTTACCAAGGTAGATTCTCCATCACACAAAATTGTTAAATCAAGACTGAATGTTTTTTTCTAAAAGATGTGCTCTACTTCCAACAGGAATTAATTCAGGTAAGTCCTATTGTTTGTGTTAGGCAGGAGATCAGACTAGATTATCACAAATGACCTGATCTATGAGTCTTTTCCTCCAAGTGTGTGTGTGGGGGGGAGGTGTGGGGGATAACAAAAATTGTCTGGAAAGCCAGCGTTTTTGGGCAGAAACCAGCATCTCCCTAAACCACTACAGCCTCTCTGCCTGTTGACTCCTTTGACAACCGAGAATGTAAGTATAAAATTGAAGTTTGTTGAAGGCCACCATCAGATTGAGGCTCCCACACAATCCTAATGCCTGGAATTGATCTGGATTTAATTAAATGAAGTCAAGGGGGGGAGAGGCAAAACAGGCAGAAAAGCAAATGCTTTTACCATTCACTTGTTAAGTAAAGGGATTATAAAACATTTATGGTGTACTGAGAAAATCATAACTTTGCTCCTAAATATCCCCTTTACTCCTCCTACTACCGTGATCATTGTACATATGTACTTGTAGTGTAATGGCATCAGCATCTTCTCTGTGCTTATTACTCCTGCCATCCCCTGACACGCTGTTCCTTCCATCCCACATACAGCTGGCAATTACTGCTGAGATGCGCAGTGTCTGAATACTCTTTCCACAGACATCATTAGCCACTGACATAAATGCACCTTGGTTCTAAGGCACACGTATGCAAGCCCAGCATATACAGTTCCACAAACCAAGTCCAGGACAGGACACGTTAATACCAGTACACACTACATGTCAAAACAGTTCATGCACAAAACCGCACATGCATACATAAAGCCATCAGAAAGAAATGCAGTGGACTTACTGTTGCCTTCTGCTTTTGCAGTCTGTTGGAGAGAGTTGTGCATTTCTCAAGAGAGTGTCAAGGATGTTACAGTGTTGTGTATACGTGTGGTGCATGGAAGGAGGCCAGGAGAGGGTGGGTGGATGCCTGTGTGTGTGGACACTGACACTCCAAAGTATTCCCCCCCCCCCAGGGAAAAAGTGGGTCCTGCATATCTTTAGTCCCAAAGTCTCCAAACTGTATCCTCAAAATAGAGAACAATCTAAACACGCCTACTGGAAAAAAAAATAATCATCCAGAGCAGGAGCACTACAAAAACCTGGACCCAGCATATAGATGCTTCTGAATCCAGCCAAATTTTGCCCTCAACTTCTAACGTCGAATGAGAAAACAAGCAAAAAGCGGCTGCAAAAAATTCTGGACGTTGATGCATCCCACTGCAAAACTCTGGATCCAGTACATGGATCTTGGCAAATTTTGGCCCCACGCTGTACTCTATGTGTGTGTGGGGAAACATAGGGCACCCAAAAATTCAGACCCTGTTGTGGGCTGGAGCAGCAGTATTGCAAAAATGTGACTCCAACACCCTGATTCTTTTTTTCAGGCTCCCCCTCCCCATTTCCTAAAATACCTAAATAGAGAATAAGTGCAGCTGCTCAGATTGCAACGCCAAGCCAGTGCATCCCTGCTCAGCACCATCTCAGAGACGTCTATCCAGTGCTGGAAGCCTGATGGCTCTTACCTTTTTTTTTGACCCCCTCCCCAAGTCCCCAGCAGAATAGGCAACACATGTTGCTGTTCCTAAAATCCGAGCTCCCACACATCCTGGTTAAACAGCCACACAACCTCGTACAGCAGACACCTAGGTGTTGCCAGGTCCAGCAAATTTTTGGCCAGAAAATCTCTACGTTTAACTTCATAAATAGAGATCTCCCGCTATAAAACTCTGGTAATACTGCATCTTGGCACCGGAGCACTGGAAAACAATCGTCATGAATGATCTTGTCCTTCCCCCCGATAGACCCCCCTCCCCCAAAGTTTTACCTTCTCAATAGACAGCAAGTTCAGCCCTCCTTTTACATCAGATAAAACTGTATCCAATGCATTGTGCTTAAGTGAAGCCCCAGCAACCCGGCTCTGACATCTCGTTCTTTTCTAGCGGCAGCCAAATCTCATGCCGTAACCCTGGCAGTTTGGCAGCCCAGATAGTCTAGCCGGTGTGAATGATCACATTATATGTTGTTTGAGCCTGGTCAGCTCTTGGCTGAGCTACTCCAAGCAACGTAAGGGATTTCGAAACACCTCTCCCATTCACTGTCAACCCCCGCGGAGGGGGAGGCGGGCGTGTTCAGACCCCCTTAGTGGGTTTGCAGCTCTCCCAGCGTTGGGTACGGAGGTAGGCGGTAGGGACGTTGGGGGGCGAGGGTCGGGGCCAAAATTTGGCTGGATCCGGATGCCGGCTCCGGGTTTTTTGCGGAACCCTCTGCTCTGGCCGACAGATTTTGGTGCGCAGCCGAAGCTGCTGGACGCCTCTTGGCTTTGGACCGTGCGACTGCGGTGGGGGGGGGGGTGGAAAGGTGTGTGTGTGGGGGGGGAGATTCGGGGGCCAAACCCTGGCAGGATCCAGGTGAAGCCGGCTTTTGCCTCCCCCTCCCCCGGCTGCTGGGGAGGGCCACGCTGCCGGTGTAGCGGCGAGCTCAGCGCTCCCGAGGCAGCGGAGCGGGTTTGGGGGGCGGGGGGGGGACCCCGCAAGAAGAGGCTGCGGGGCGGGAGTGGGGCGGGGAGGGAAGGAGGGGGGGGGAGAGACGTGCGTCCCCCGGCAGCCCCATCCCCGGGCGTGACGTCAGCCCCGGCTCCGTCCAAGGGCAGCCTGCAAAAGCCTCGGGATTCAAAGCGCTCGGCGCAGCGGCGGGGCGCGGGCTGCAGCCGGGACGGGAGCGGCGGGCGGCGGGCGGCGTCTCTCCCCCTGCCCAGCCCGCGGGGCGAAACTTCCATGCGGAGCGGCCGCCTCTTGCTGCCGCCGGGACCGGAGCGCGGCGCGGGGCGGCCGGTCTCCCCGGCGGCCGGCGGGATGCGGAGCGCGTGGGTCGGTGCGCGGGCGGGGAGCCGGGTGCGGTCCTGATGCGTGAGTACCGCGGCCCGGGGGGTCCGGGGCGCCCCGCTGGCGCTGCCCGGCCGGGGGAGCGCTCGGAGTCGGGGCGCAAGGAGCCGCCCGGGAGCGGGGCCGCTCGGGGCTGAGCAGAGGCTCTGCAGCGGGAGGGGCTCTGCTGGGTGTGTGTGTGGGGGGGTCCCCTGCAGCTGTTTGGAGGCGGGGGGGGGTCTGAGCCAGTTTTGGGGTAACTCGGGGGGTAGGGGGTTAGCAGGACTGCTCTGGGCTGGGGCAGGGCGAGCTGCCCCCAGGGCCAGTGGGAGGAGGGGGTGTATGTGTGTGTGTGTGGGGGGGGGCTTTTGCCCTGATCTGCCTTGTTGCTCCCCCCTTTCCTGGCTTCCTTAACTGGGGTTCTCCTTCCCCTCCCCACCTGCTTGCAGGTTTGTCTGCAGGTACCGGAGCTGGGACCCGCGCGGCGCCTAAAGATGCTGAAGGGGGTCTGGTTGCTCAGTGTGTTGACAGTGGCTGGGATCTCGCCCACGACGGAGAGCCGCAAGCCCGCCAAAGACATTTGCAGCCGGAGCCGCTGCCCCTGCGAGGAGAAGGAGAACGTGCTGAACATCAACTGCGAGAACAAAGGCTTCACCACCGTCAGCCTCCTGCAGCCGCCCCCCTCCAAGATCTACCAGCTGTTCCTCAGCGGCAACGCCCTCACCCGCCTGCACCCCAATGAGTTTGTCAACTATTCCAACGCCGTGACCCTGCACCTGGGCAACAACGACATGCAGGAGATCCGCACCGGGGCCTTCAGTGGCCTGCGGACCCTCAAGAGGCTGCACCTCAACAACAACAGGCTGGAGGTGCTACGGGAGGACACCTTCCTGGGCCTGGAGAGCCTGGAATACCTGCAGGCCGATTACAACTATATCAGCGCCATCGAGGCCGGAGCCTTCAGCCAGCTCAACAAGCTGAAAGTCCTCATCCTCAACGACAACCTCCTGCTGTCCCTGCCCAGCAACGTCTTCCGCTTCGTCCTGCTCACCCACCTGGACCTGAGGGGGAACAGGCTGAAGATGTTGCCCTTCGCCGGCGTCTTGGAGCACATTGGTGGGATCATGGAGATCCAGCTGGAGGAGAACCCTTGGAATTGCACCTGTGACCTGCTCCCCCTCAAAGCCTGGCTGGACACCATCACCGTCTTTGTCGGGGAGATCGTCTGTGAGACGCCCTTCCGGCTGCATGGGAAGGACGTGACCCAGCTCACCCGGCAAGACCTCTGCCCTCGGAAAAGTTCCAGTGACTCTCACCAGAGGGAAAAGTACCCTTCCCACTCAGACACACACATCCAGAGGCTCTCACCCACGGCCAACCCTGCCATCAGCCCCACCAGAGCCCCAAAAGCCAGCCGGCCACCCAAAACGAGGAACCGTCCAACGCCTCGGGTCACGGTGTCAAAAGACCGGCAAATTTTCGGACCTATCATGGTTTACCAGACCAAGTCCCCTGTGCCCATCACCTGCCCCAGTGGCTGTGTCTGCACTTCGCAAAGCTCTGACAATGGTCTAAATGTGAACTGCCAAGAGAAAAAGATCAGTAACATCTCAGATCTCCACCCCAAACCCACCAGTCCAAAGAAACTTTACCTTACAAGTAACTATCTACAGGTTGTTTATAAAACTGATCTCCTTGAATACAGTTCTCTGGATTTGTTACATTTAGGAAACAACAGGATTGCAGTGATACAGGAAGGTGCCTTTACAAACCTCACCAGTTTACGCAGACTTTATCTCAATGGCAATTACCTTGAAATCTTGTACCCTTCTATGTTCAATGGACTGCAGAGCTTGCAGTATCTCTACTTAGAGTATAATGTCATTAAGGAAATCCTGCCACGCACTTTTGATGCTCTGAGCAACCTTCATCTATTATTTCTGAACAACAACTTGCTGAGGTCTTTACCTGATAATGTGTTTGGTGGTACTTCCCTCACGAGGCTCAATCTGAGGAACAACCACTTCTCACACTTGCCTGTGAGAGGCATCCTTGACCAGCTCTCGGCTTTAATTCAGATAGACCTCCAAGAAAATCCTTGGGATTGCACGTGTGACATAATGGGGCTCAGGAACTGGATAGAGCATGTCACTGAGCAGAACAATCAACAGTCAAGTCCCCCTGTAGTTATCAATGAGGTCATATGTGAGTCTCCAGCTAAGCACTCAGGAGAACATCTGAAATTCCTGAGCAAAGAGGCCATCTGTCCAGAGAACCCTAACTTGTCAGATTCTACTCTCTTCTCTATGAGTCATAACACAGACACACCACAGTCCCTTAGCATCTCGCCCAGCTCCTATCCAGAAATACACACAGAAGTTCCACTCTCTGTCTTAATTTTAGGCTTGCTGGTTGTGTTTATCTTGTCTGTCTGTTTTGGGGCAGGCTTGTTTGTCTTTGTTCTGAAACGCCGAAAGGGAGTGCCAAGCGTGCCCAACAGTGCAAACAACTTGGACATAAGTTCATTTCAGCTGCAGTATGGGTCTTACAACATGGAGAGCCACGATAAAACTGAAGGGCATGTTTATAACTACATCCCCCCTCCTGTCGGGCAGATGTGCCAAAACCCAATCTACATGCAAAAGGAAGGGGATCCAGTTGCATACTACAGGAATCTCCATGAGTTTAGCTATAGCAATCTTGACCACAAAAAGGAAGACTCCGCCAGCCTTGCATTTACAATCAGTGCCGCTGAATTGTTGGAAAAGCAGTCCTCGCCAAGGGAGCCAGAGCTGCTGTATCAAAACATTGCAGAGAGGGTCAAGGAACTCCCCAGTGGAGGGGTTGTTCATTATAACTTTTGCACCTTACCCAAAAGGCAGTTTGCTCCTTCCTATGAATCCAGACGCCAAAACCAGGACAGGATAAATAAGACTGTTTTGTATGGAACACCCAGGAAATATTTTGCAGAACAGTCTAAACCCGAGCATCCTTTGCTGCAAGGAAAGCTACAAACGGAACCAGACTACCTCGAAGTTCTGGAAAAACAAACTGCAATTAGTCAGCTGTGAGGGTGGATGGGGGGAGGAGGAGGCATTTTAAAAGGGTCTTAAAGTCAAACTTGATTGGTATTGAGTTCTGAATCAGTGTGACTTGTCACATTCTCAATATTTCCACTTTTTAAATTCTGAAAACAAGCAAACACAGCCCTCTTATACTGTGCTGAGGGTGTAGTGTTGCTTTTGCAAAGGTCCCTTTAAGTTATTTCTACATCTTTCTTCTTTTTCCCCTCCCCTTAGGAACTGTCTCTGCAAATGAATGTTTCGACAATAGATTTTTGCATAATTCTCTCTTTTTTTTTTTGAGTTGGGAGGAAGGGGGACTTTTTATTTCTCTTCAATTTAAAGTGGAAAGGTAATGTATTATGTAGAAGATCTCCAAAGATCTTTTTCCTGGACTATAACTTTTTTTTGTAAATAATAATATACAATACTGCTGTTTCAATTACAAGTATAGCCACTGGGCATCACTTTCTTGTGTTAAAGTGCCTTTGCACTTTAAGTACATTATTACTTAATTGTTGCTCTTAGCTTTGATAAATTGAACCTATTTTAATGTGTTGTATTTTTGAAATTAAAAAAATGTAAAATAGATCTATATGTCAGCTGCATTAAATCAAACCATCTTGCTTGAGTTATAGGAAGCCAGACCTTCTTTAAGGGAATGTAGTTCTAGGACTTTATAGATTGAACTGTAAATTATTTGGATTTTTTCCCCCCCCTTTGGGTTTGGTTTAAGTGATTCATTGAAATCAACTAAGAGGACTTAGCAATGGATTAGAGGTAATCAGCTGCCTCAGATGGGAGTAACAGTTCATTAATAAAAGACATTTAACATGACATCATAGTGAACTGTACAATTAATGTCCCTTCTCAATTCATTACACTGCAGCTCTAACACAGCCAATAATGTTCAGTGGTTTAAGATTTTTTCATACTAAATAAAACATTACTCTACTTGTAATATATATTTTCTGCATTAAATTAGATATTTTTATACATTTAACAACAGAGTTTATTTTTCTAACTTAATTGGAATTACCAGTTTGTTTTCTTGCCAGGTGTAGTACTTTTAAAATAAGCATGCACACCAGCAGGGGCCGCCACACAACCTCATTAAACACACAGCCATACACTTAAATGAATAAACAAACTTGCAAAGAAACTTCAGAAGTGAGATTAGAACCTGGGTCCCCTCAGTCTGCTAGAGATTGATAGATACATCATACTAACTTTCAGCAACGTGAACAATTCCATGTTTTCCCTATCTAAATAGAAAGTAACAGTGCAACAATCCTAACCCAGTTGATAAACAACTCCTACTAAATACAGTAGTTTAAATTTTTAGAGGGGTTTATTAATCAATTACCTTTTAATCTCAATATGGGTTTTAATAAGAACATCAGTAAACATAGTCAATATGTTTTCTGTTCTGCCTTTGACTTGGGCTTGTGTTACTTGAATCTTTACCTTCACAATCTAAAATGTACATTTCTTTCCTTCCTGAAGAATATTGAAAACATTTTAATTAACAAGTGAGATACACAAACTTTATAGAGCCTTAGTAGCCTGTAAATAATTTTTAGATCCAAACATTGTGTGATTTCAACAGACAGCCCTTATTTACAACAAAAAGTTTTGTTTTGTCTATTGTAAATCCTTATGCAACTGGGATGGTGATCTGCATATAAAGTAGGCCAGGCTTTTCAATTCCTTATTAAAGCAATTGATGGGGTCTGAAAGAAGCACACTGTTTCCTTTTCATAAATAGGTTACTCCACATAATAATCCTTTATTATCATGCAGAGATTGAAGTGGACTCTGCTGACTGATTTTTAAAGCTTTACTCTAACTAATGATATATTATCTGCAACTTTGAGGAATTTTAAGCAATAGATTTTCGTTATAAATTACTACAATCTGTGTTATTTTAATCAGGACTTTTGCCAGCAGGAAGTAGCTTTATATTTAAGAAGTAAACAAGGTTTGCATGTATAGGGTCAAATATATGGGTCATGCTGCAAACTGTTTTCTAGTGAGTTATGTGACATATGAGTACATTAATATGCTAACATGTCAATTGCTTATCTTTAGAGGCCGTAACTTCTATTGCTGCTCATTAGATCAGGTTTAAAACTGAAGTGCTGCAATGAACCACTGAAGAATCAGTCTTCAAAATGGTCTCATTTCAAGAAGGAGAAGTATTATCATATTAGTTGAAGTTGGAATATTTGCCTGGAATAGCATCCATCTTTGGGTGAGGTACTTATTTGAGAGCTTCCAATACTATTGTCTTATGTCTGGGACACGGGATACAGCTAAATGTATTTATTGCTGAGAAAACTAGGAAAATCAGGTGTAGGGATTACTTAGAGTGACTGTTTTGTGACGGGGTTTGCTGCATTAACTCTTTCTAAATTCCCTTTTAGTACCGTTTGCAAAGACTGGCACTTTTCTGTATCTGGAGTATTTTAGTAAATCGTCTTCCTCCCTTCTCCAAACAGAGCAGAACCAATGCTAAATTTCCTTCTGCAAATTTGGGTTTTCAATTCTATAATGTTTAAGAACAACATGGTAGCACGCAGATTATGAATTCATTTAGTAGCTATTTATGGTTCAATTTTTATGTTTGTTTTGCTTCCCTGAGTTTTGCACATGGTTCACCTCAGTGGCAAAGAGAGATTTTTCAGGTATTGTTTTCCTTTACATTTTTTTTTTTTAGATCTATTAATGTATTTTATTTAGTAAATGCATTTTGATTTGCCTTATCAGTGCAAACGTTTCAAAACAATTTTTATTCTAGGATCTTGTTTGTTGTATATTATTAAACTTTAATTTTATTCACAGCTTGCATAGGTTTGAGAGATTTCTTTTTCTTTAACAGTTAAAATGCTGCCTCTGATAGAGCAAGTTGTGTCTCTCAGCTGCTGTCCTGTGGAAGATCTGTCGGCCTCCCTTGCTAGGCAGCAGTGGCGGCTGCTTCTTGCTCCTAGGAGATGATGCCTGCCTTGGTAGCGGCCTCATAGTTAGCAGCAATCTGAAAAGATCTCCCTGGTTGATGGCTCCTTTCCAGAGCTCACCTGTGAAAAAAAGAGTGACCAAATCAGTGGAAGACTGTCTCTGTATAAAATAAGATGAACAGCGTTTCTTTTCCTGGTAAATTGATGTATTTATGACGCATGACAGAATGGCCCCCAGATTAAAGATGATGGGTGAGATAGGGTGGCACAGTACTAAAACTATGTAGCTATTTGCAGTGCAAAAAAAAAGACTGCCTAAGTTTGTCTCTCTGGATATAGAGCATTAAATCAATAGGGCTACTGGTAAAGTAAGATCTAAATAAGGTTATCAGAAGTTGACCCACCATGAACACCTGATGAGATGAGGCCGAACGCTACCCTGATTTACACCCCTGTGCATGGGGGGATGGGTATAAGGAAAGGTGTAACTGAGGATAGAATTTGGTCTATGGTTCCTAGGCGGGCATCTCCTAGGAGAAATTCTATTGCATGTGTGACACACCTGTCTTTCCTGTCTGATTATTTGTAAATGCTCGTTTTTTCGATAGGGAGATTGAGAGAGAGAGCTGCAGTCAGTGGTGTCCATGGCACTTTTCACTAGAGCAGGGCTGCTAGTGCTCCTATTCTGGCCAGCTTCTAGTTTGGGTAATTGCTAGAGGTTGACATTGTAAACCCCCCTCTCCCCTCAAAAAGAAAAGATTGGTAGAAGGGCCACGGGTATACTATCTCTCAATGTGCCACCCTCTGCTGCTTGTGACTTTCTGAAGCCTCCCGGTTGTCTGCTTCCTTCCCCCTGAAGATTCTATTCTCCTCGCAGTTTTCTTCACTGCCTCGACTCTCTTTGCCTTCCAAGCTGCCTAATCACCTTCTGCAAGCTCTTTCCCTGCACTGATTCAAGCGCTCCCCTCAGATGTATCCTTCTCTGCTGTCCCCCTTTCCTCACAGACAAGCTCTTCCTGTGCCCTATTTCCCTGACGCTGAATTTCAGCACCGAAGGGAGTGATTCAGCCTGAGCAGTCAAGTTCCCCTTCTTTCTGCCTCCTTTGACAGCAGCAGTGTGTGTCTTTCTTGGATGCTGCTGCCTAACCGTCATAGTAAACATGGGCCTTAGCACTAGAGGGAGCTGCACGTAGCAGTTCCCTTCCCCTGCCGCTGTGTGGTCCTCTTCAGCTGGAAGAAGAGGCTAGCTGGCCGGCTTCTAAAACAGAGCAGTGCTCTTGCGTCCACAGTGGATTTAACGTGTGCTACCCAATCTAAGCACGGCTCTGCCTTTGCTGAGGGACGTTCTGCATGAGGCTTGGCAGATTAGTAATCTTAAACCATAGTAACTACATTCTGCCTCCCTAATGCCCTCTGGATGTTGAATTCTTCGTTTCTGTCCCTAAACTGTTGCGTGTTGTTGCTGTGCACTGTTAAACATCTGCCTTATTCCACCCCTGAGGTGGATGCATATTGTTGGTGGCTGAAGTGATCCCTGTCGAATGTGGGTGATTTGGGATGAAAAGCACCTCTAAATTCTTTTCGTATCTACAGAGAATTGCACATCAATCTTTTGTCTTTGTTTTTAGTTTATAAAAAAAAGCAACCAAGAAACCCATTTTTTCTTAGTTTTAAGTTGTAACCATTTGTGTCAAGATAATGGTGTAAACAACTTGAATTGCAAAAATAAAACACTTTCAAAAAGAAGATTGACCTTGCATCAGAATACAAATGCCATAATTTTAAACTGCTCATGAGTGAAATGAGATACTGGAAACGTTAATGAAATGTTTTAGGCTCTTCCAGGCTAATCACTGATACAGTTTGTGATTTCACATATTACCACTATAGCAGATGGCAAATGTCAATTAACATAGTGGCAGCATTCCTATTTACCAAAAAATACAGAGTAATAAACTTTTCTGGGAGATGTGACGTTTCTCGGGTTTTTATTTTTTTTGTTTTCAATTCTTTTTTCAAAGCATTCTGTAGAAAAAGTAGAAAAATGATTCTTTAGGAAGGGGATTATTAAGTCTGTATTATTGATCTCATCTTTTTTTCTGGGCATGGGGCCAATCATTTTGACTAAGTTTTTGTTTTTAATCCTGGATAATAAGAGAGGTGGATTAATGAGAGGGTTTTTTTTTTTCCTTTTTGGAAGTGGACTATTGACATGTTTGTGAATATACTGAGTAGATCACTTTGAATGGAAGAAATTATGGAGGAGCGGTTGGCTTTTAATCATATTACAGAGAAGTTCAAGAATATTAGTAATGTTTGAAATATGAGAAATCGTGAAGTCTAATTTTATTGTTGATATTATGAACAAAGTCACCCATTTGACTATAGTAATGGCTTTCATTACATAGTGTTTGGTATCTGGATAGATGAAATTAGAGGTCAGATACACTTCATTTATCCTAAAGTACATTCACGTAATTGAAGTGTTTGGGATTAGCAAGATTTTTATCGCTTTCTTGTTTATTACCCTATGTCTGTACGTGTCTACGAATATAGCACTATTGTTACAGCTTGACTGTAGATGTCTAATAACCATAATACAGTTACCAAGAATAAACCTAGTTAGAATATTTCCTTGTCACTCATTAATATACTTTTTTAAAAATGCCATGGATTAACTATGTAATAGATCCTGTAGTCCATTCACTTCTAAGGGCCTTAGTTGAAACCAGCTTTTCATAAGGGCATATAAAGTACATGTTTCTCCCCTGCTGTGATCAAATTAATATGTGTTACTCGTTAGGAAACGAGACCAATCCGTACTTTGCTGACCTTGAAAGTAAAGATCATGAGCATAAGATGGCGTTACCATTTTGAAATGGAGGTGATTAACTTGTGTCTTTGCAAGCAGTAGCAATAACTATTATACAAAAATTATTCTGAAATGTCTGCAATGCCAGATGCAGGTTTCTCTCAGGCTATGACTTGTGTTTCAGCAGCATTGATTC